CGATGACAAAGAGAAAACTGGAAATTCGTTCCAAGAACATCTCAATAATCTGAAAGAAGTTTTTGACCGCTTCCGGAATGCCAACTTGAAACTCAATCCAAACAAGTGTTTTCTATTTCAAAAGAAAGTGGAATTCTTAGGCCGCGTGGTATCTGAAGATGGCATACAAGTTATGGAAGGAAAAATAAATACTGTCAGGGACTGGCCAAAACCACGCGACAAACATGAACTAAGGAGTTTTCTAGGATTATGTTCTTATTATCGAAGATTTGTTGAAGGATTCGCCAATATAGCTGCTCCGCTTCATCGATTAACAGAAGAAAAATCAACATTCAATTGGACCCAAGAATGCGATTCCGCATTTAGAAAATTGAAAGGAGCATTATGTACGAGCCCAGTGTTGTCCTATCCTGATCACAAAGGCATGTTGATTTTGGACACAGATGCAAGTAACACCAGTGTTGGAGCTGTCCTTTCACAAATCCAAAATTCACAAGAACATGTCGTGGAGTACTACAGCAGAACATTATCAAAGCCGAAACGAAAATATTGTGTCACCAGAAGAGAGTTGCTTGCCATAGTAAAAGCAGTCGACCATTTTCATAAGTATCTCTACGGACGCAAGTTTCTAATTCGAACAGATCACGCAGCTCTAAAATGGCTTTTAGAAATGAAAACTCCTGAAGGACAGCTTGCTAGATGGATTGAGAAATTGCAGCAATACGATTTCCAAATTAAACATCGACCTGGAAACCTGCATAAAAATGCTGACGCTCTGTCTAGACGGCCATGTAAAGAAGATTGCAAACATTGTCAAAGAATCGATATACATGAGAAAAACACTAGTCCAGCTGTAAGAAGAACGGGCCTGATCGTCGATGACAAATGTACTACCAAGCAAATGAGAAAAGATCAAGAGGCAGACCAGGACATCGGGCAAATTCTACATCTTAAAGAAAATGATGAATGTAGGCCAGAATGGGGGGAAGTGTCAAACAAAAGCTTGATTTACAAGGCGTTGTGGGCCCAGTGGAACTCTCTGGCCGTAGAAAATGGTTTACTCAAAAGAGTTTGGGAAAGTGCCGATGGAAAATCCACTAAGAGCCAACTGGTTATCCCCAAAGACCGAGTGGAAGATGTATTAAAAGAAATACACGACGGAACCTCAGGGGCACATTTCGGAGTTAACAAGACTTTGGACAAAATTCGGGAACGTTTTTACTGGGTTCACTACCATGAAGACGTTAAAAACTGGTGCCAAAAATGCGACATCTGTGCTACCAGTAAAGGCCCTAAACTAAGATCTCGGGGGCTTATGAAACAGTACAACGTCGGTCTTCCATTTAGAGAATAGCGATAGATGTAGCAGGACCGTTCCCAGAGTCAGAGCGTGGTAACAAATACATCTTAGTTATCATGGATTACTTCAGTAAATGGCCAGAAGTTTTTGCTATTCCCAATCAAGGAGCCATCACTGTTGCCCAGGTGCTAGTGGACGAAGTTTTTAGTCGTCATGGTGTGCCACTAGAGTTACATTCAGACCAGGGACGAAACTTCGAATCTGCCATCTTTAAGAAAATTTGTGAGATCATGGGAATCCGTAAGACCAGGACAACACCTTTACATCCACAGTCTGATGGCATGGTAGAACGATTTAATAAGACCATAGAGGAACACCTGACAAAAGTGGTCGCAAAGAACCAGCGTGATTGGGACAAACACTTGCCTCTGTTTTTAATGGCTTATAGAGCAGCTGTTCACGAATCAACAGGTGAAAGTCCAGCCAGAATCGTCTTTGGAAGAGAACTCAGGTTACCTTGCGATTTGATGTCTGGGATACCTGAAGAAGAACGGAGAGAAATCCGAGATTATGCCGACGAAGTAAGGGCACGACTTCTGGGTATCCATGGTTTTGCTCGGGAGCATATTCAGCTGGCCAGTGACCGGATGAAGACCAGATACGACCTGAAAGCCAATTCAGCGGGATTTCAAGAAGGTGATTTAGTGTGGCTGTATAATCCAGCTAGAAAGAAAGGAGTATCGCCGAAGTTGTCTTCAGCATGGGAGGGACCCTACAAAATAATCAAGAGGATCCATGATTTGGTTTATCGAGTCCAGCGCAACACCAGGAGTAAGATGAAAGTTGTACATCTGGACAGATTGGCGAAATATCATGGGCGCGAAGTTGATCGGGACGATCAACCTTAAGAGGAGGGCAGTGTTACAATAATGCTAAACGCTGTTGCTAGAATAGGCGTCCGCCAGACTGTCAAGAATCGATGTCGAATATCCTCGAATCTAGCGAATTATTCTACTATAATCGAGAAATAAGATTATCGTGTGTGTTCTAGATTTTACAAGAATAGATTTAGGGATATACAGGGTGTTTAAAAAAGACGCGGCAATATTTGAGAGGGTGATTCCTCAGGTCATTTTATGGAAAAAAGTTCCCATAAACATAGGTCCGGAAATGCATTTTTTCCAAGATACAGGGTGTTAAAGATTTTTTTAAAATAACGTTTTTTTTTTAAATAATTCAAATATCTTCTCACCGATTTTTTTGAAAATTGGCAGCGTTGTTTTTAGTAATTAGGGGCTAGTTTTGCCCTAACTAGATAATTTTTTTTAACTCCAGTGGCGTTAGGGGGGGGGCAATTTAATAAAATTTATTGACGAAAAAATGTACGCCACTGACTTTAATTTAATTTCGATTTTTCTTTCAGATAAATCAACTAAAACTGCAACTTTTTTGTCTCCTAAATTTTTCCCGTATCTTGCTTCGTTTACAAAATAAAAAATGAAAACTATTTTCTTGCTTGTCCATTATGATACAAAAACATTACAAAAACTGTTCAAAGTGACCACCCCCGGCGTGGATGCAGGAATTCAATCTACTCCTCATTGACTGGCGAACTCTCTCAAAAATACCAGGGTCATTTCTAATTGAGTTACACCCACCAATGATTTGAGCTCTTAGGTCTAATCTTTACCACCCTGTATCTTGCAAAAAATGCATTTTCGGACCTATGTTTATGGGAACTTTTTTCCATAAAATGACCTGAGGAATCACCCCCTCAAATATTGCCGTGTCTTTTTGAAACACCCTGTATATAAGGACGGGTTTTAGCTTGTAAGTTAAGTTTCAGTTTGACTGTGATACGATTTAAATAGTGATTATTGCGAGTTGTAAGAGTTTAATTGTTGAGTTTGTTATTAAAGTAATTAGTGTCAGAGTGTATTGTTAAGTGGAATAAATTATTGCTGTGTTAATTGGGCTTTGATTTTTGGAATAAACGAAACGAACAACGAACCCAAGATTTCTGTCAGGCAATCAAAAGCCGTGACAATATGATCTGTTGGTTTACTTTGGCACTCGAGCTTTATAGATTGAAGGATGCGTAAGTGGCATTTCGATCACCAGGATTAAATCTTTTTGTCTGGAATAGCCTATAGGCATCTATTCTGGCCCTTTTTTTTTCACATAGGTGAAGAGGAGGCATGTTCAGCAGTGCCTCTAAGGCTGCGGTGGGGCAGGTTGACATAGCCTCTGTTATTCTTATACAGATTAGCCTTTGTACTATAAGTAGACTGTTCTGTGCAGTAATTTGCGTGTCAGGCCCGTTTGGTAAATCCAATGTACCATTTTCGGTCTTTTCCCTATGTTTTTTTTCCACAAGTTTGCGGCATGTTATAATAAGTCACAGTCGAGCAAAAACAAAAATACGTATCAATAAGTAGCCGAAAATCGAAAATGCGACACCTTGTTCGAATACGTTGGAAGTTCGGGGACTTTCGTTCCCCAAATGCAAAGATTTGCCCTACCTTAGAAAAACACCTTGTGAAAAACTCAAAAATGTTTTCTATTATTATAAAAAATCCCAATAAATATATGGATTCTCATAAACATTCCTATTCGATATAGCTCTAAACCAATTCATCATAGTCATGAAAATAGAAAAACGAACTGACGTTTTATGACATCACATCGAGAATAGATGGCAAACTCGTGTTCTTTTCCAAGGATTTGAAGTCGATAACAAAAAACGCTGGTATATGTGCCAAACGAAAACTGAGTTTGGGAAAAAGTTTGTTCAGTCTATGAAACATGTGACGAGTTCGTACTGACAAAGCACTACGTCTCCAATTACTTTCTAAACTACGCACTATAATAGATTACTCTTTGATAAAAAGAAGAAGTTAAATCAGGAATTCTATATTGTTAAGACTCCCCTGAAAGCTTTGCAACTTACCTACTTAAAATTTATAGATCCAAAAATTTAAAGCAGCAAAGTTTATGCGAACCAAGTTATGTCTGAAATTATGGAGTCTCGCTCAAACAAAGCAAAGCATTATAGGCATTTCCTCGGTTATTTTAAAGAAGGGCTTATATAACACGGTTCTGTATTTATACTTAAGTTATTTACGGCGCAAAAGATTAGAAACTTTTCACGCTCGATGAACAGGTGAGGTTTTATTAAAGCACTTTCAATGTTTTTGAAATCATGAGGAGTACTTTTTTTAGTGAGTTGGAATCATTTTTAATGCACATACATGCAACAGGTATTTACCAATTTTTCAATCAATTACAAATGGACAGGTGTCCAACAAGTCCGCAGCAATACAAAACAATAACAAAGTAGTGCAACATAAAATCTTTGATTATCGTGTTTTCAACGTGAAGTCAAACTTTACCTTTCCATGAATACCAATATACAAGGTGTCCATTTGACACTCCGGTGTTCAATTGCGGCTACGTCAATGAGCGGTTGAAAATTTTATCATTAGAGAAAAACTTACCCTGTTACAATATTTTCAAAAAAGTATGGAGCAATCAGAAAAAAATCATGTAACCCCAAACGTTGATACTCCATTTGTGTGGAAATTATTGACACAAACTAGGTTCAAATTTTTTCTGCTCAATGTTTCATCAGTTTTTAATAGATAAAGAAACACCCTGCTTGTAAACCAACAATGATTAATTGCTCTATTTTATTTTTCAGTTTCACAGGCCTCTAAAAAGTACGAGAAGCCGACTGGGGATGTTATTAGGATTTCTTCTCATCCTCCTTATTCCTTTTGTGTTCGCCCAGCAGGAAATAGCGCAACCACAGGTTGACCCATTTCAAGCTTCTACCCTTATAACGGGTGATATTATTCTAGGAGGACTTTTTCCAGTGCACGAAAGAGGTGAAAAAACACCATGCGGACACAAGATCTACCATCGCGGCATCCAAAGGATGGAAGCCATGATGTTTGCTATGGATCGGATCAATGCGGACAAGAAAATTTTGCCAAATATCACCATAGGTGCTCACATTATCGATACCTGTTCGCGAGACACTTATGCTTTAAATCAGTCTTTACAATTCGTTAGAGCGTCTGCTTTGAATAACATTGACACGTCCAATTTTGAATGCCAAGATCATTCTATCCCGCGTCCTAGAAATAACTATTCGGGTCCTGTGTTCGGCGTCGTCGGTGGTAGTTACAGTTCGGTGTCTCTTCAAGTAGCAAATCTCCTAGGACTGTTTAGAATTCCTCAAATATCACCTGCCTCTACCGCGAAAGCTTTGAGTGACAAAACTCGGTTTAAATATTTCGCTCGTACCGTACCGCCTGATACTTTTCAATCGAGCGCGCTAGTAGACATCGTTAAAAGTGTAAACTGGTCCTACGTATCCACCGTCTATTCCGAAGGTTCCTATGGTGAATATGGAATAGAAGTTTTCCATCGCGAAGCTCAAGAAAGAAATGTTTGCATAGCAGCGGCTGAGAAAGTTCCTAGTACTGCGGATGAAAGAGACTTCGACAATATTATTGCCAAACTTAAAAAGAAGATTAACGCAAGAGGCGTGATTTTATTTACAAGAGCTGAAGATGCAAGGTAAGAACACTCTTTGATTATTATTCGTAATGCTGAAACAAGTGTAGAACATTCAATTGTTGATCGTGGGTGGCGAGAAGAAACCTTTCTTTATTTTTTCTGCTCATCCCTAAGTAGCACTCCCATGTTGGGCCAATATTGGTACAATAAAGTAACCAAATGTTGGCCCAGAAAAAATAATCAATATTATATCAAGAACTTTATGCAATATAGAGCAAATTAAAATGACCAATATTGGCCCAAAGACGTATGTGAACCATGCCTTTATATTATATTTAATTGGGGTAACGGACCAATTAGGGACCGATTGAAAAGTGTTTTCTCTCTGCCCGACCATCTGTGGACGCGTTTCGCTGTATCAGAGCTCATCAGCACGGTTGGGTCCTGCAGAGAGAAAAGACAACCCATTTTTGGTTCCATCCCGGAACTAGGTTTAAGAAATATGAAATGAAGACAAAGGCTCCATCTATTTTCTGGTTGGTACACCAAGTACGCACTAGCGCGAAAAAGTAAAAATGTCAAACATTGGTAGGTATTGCGGAAATGTAAAAATATCCTAAATTGGTAGGTATATGGGTATAGATATTAACTTTCATCTCGTAGAAAAAATACGTGTTCCTAACTCGTGCGGAAAGTCTCTCTTCCTCACTTGATTGCTTGACAGAACCCCGCTACGCTCGGCCAAATACAATGTCCTAGTTAGGAAAGATACCTACTATTCTAGAATCAATCTCTAAACTTCTGGGGCCCTTTTGTACATTTTGCTCTTCTTTAGACATGAAAAAAGAAACAGAAAGATGCCAAATACGTATGTATTTCCATAGGCACCAAGGCACCCAGAAGATAATGAAAAATATTAGTTTTATAATAAAAAAAATCGATATTGGTCTTGTATTAATAATTTCGACTTGCTTGATAAGATAATCAAGCCAGGATTCATGAAAAATTGTAAAACATCCTCAAAAACTTTATAGAAAAAATATTGAATACCTATATTGGACCAACATTTTCAATTCACAAAACCTAACCTTGATAAAAATTAGTATGTAATATTGGCCGTACATTGGGCTTTTCAATAAGTATCAAAGTTGTGAAAAAATTGAAAATAAATATTGGCCGTACAAAGTGAATTTAAATATCAATAAAAAATTGAATGCCAATATTGAATTAATATTGTATTACAATATTGTTTTGATAATATAAAATGTGATATTTGGCCAATATTTCATAAATCAATATTGTAGTGAAAAATCTTGGGCCAATATTCAAATTACTGAAAACTTAATTAATCTATGAATACAAATACAAGATTATTTTTAAATATTGTTTCCACACAGCTAAAACCAACGTTGCATCAATATTGGTACTGTGCTGATTTCGCAACAAAAATTACCTATTAAAAATTAGCCCAACTAAAAAACGGTGTTTACCCAACATTATGTGCTACTATCATCATTCACCCCTAGATATATGCTCCGTCCGATTATCGCGAACGAACTCTATTTTAAGCCATTTGCCTCTAGTATAATTTTGATTGAAATCATCGATCTATCTTATGTGAGGTTGTCCCTTGGTCTGTGTCCAGCATAATATGGACTCCATTGTATTAGTTCTATAGTCCCTTCTGAGTTTTTTTTTCTATTATTCAAGCGTTTCTCTTTTTTTATCCGTGACTCTTTGAGCCTAAAATAGTTTGTCATTTATACACAGTAAAAAATGATGCGGTGAAAAAAAGTATATATCACGAGGTAAATTATAGAGGTGTTAAAAATAACACTAAAAAATATACTTATTTGTACACTTTAACCCGCCATTAGGCGCGCGAGTTTTTATAACATCATTACTCGCGCTGTATCACAGAGATACATGTACTAAATCATTGATAAAAAAATTGAACCATCTGATGAATTTCGGTTTTACAATTTCTATGTATCTATTCGTGTACTCAACAATCATTTTTTACTGAAAAAAAAGATTCCAGAAGTTGGATTCTGTTTTCGCAGTCGTTGTTGTTTGGCCAACCACGCCCGGCAGCTTTACTATACTATTATGTGAGCTGCTTTCCAGTGCCTAAATTGTTAGAGTATCATGCTACTGGAGTGTGACGCTCCTGAACTGTTCGACATAAGCAGCACTGGAACGCTTGCGTTTTAACCCCCACCATTTCGGACTTCAGGAGCATGGAACACCGAAATAAAGGTTGGGGCACGAGGGAGCAGGGGATAACAGAAATGAGTAGTTCAAGTGAACGACACTCTAAGCACTGGAACGCGCAAAGTAATTTGTGAAGCACTCCTGAGCTGCTCAGGAGTAACTCAAATGGGTCACTGGAAAGCACCTGTGGTCTCTTCCGAGTCAGCTTGGGAGGAATTTTGTGTTATCGGGTTCCATCTTCACCTAAGATGAACAGCCTCTTGTACCGTATGTAAAAAAAAATACCAAAAAAATAGTTACAATTGAAGAGCACCGATGGTAACAAGAAAAGTCGCGTTGTATTAGTCAGGTATAAAGCCGAGCGCACCCCTAGTTTTTTGGAAATTCCAAATTTCCAAGTAGAGGTACGACCATGTAATTTTGAGAAAGTAATTAGTATAGGGTACCTAAAGACTACTACAAGCCATAATATTATAGGGTTTTTCCTTTTTGATTTATTTGCAAAAATAATAGGCATGTATCTCTCAGATACACGCGCGACTAATGGTGGAAGGTTGACACTCGATGACCACTATCCGAATGGTAAATTTCGTATAAACACATTTTTATCTCTTTTTGTGTTATATTAACACAGTTTAAATAAATTTCACACTACAAAAAGGATTTCACGCTGGTGAAAAAAAGTTAGTGTTAAAATAACCCAAAAATTGGTTAAAATAACACTTCTCAGGGTCGATTCACCTCTAGGCGTTGCCGGTGGTCTAACCCTTACCTGATAATCGCGTCAGTTTGTCAGTTGTAGTTGTACCGATAGGTTCCGGTCCCGCGTGGTGCATCTTTAATCGTTCTTAATCGTTGGCAAGTTTCGTGGAACGTGATTGATGCCATCCCAGGCTAAAATTCAGGTGAAAGCTCAAAATGTCGATTATGTATTTGAGTTATTTCATAGAAACAAAGGAAAGTTCTGTAAATTAAATGATGATATTTCGTATGAAGATATCGTGGATCTAGGTGAGCATACTTATTTACTAAAAAATAAGGTACATACGCAATACGCCGCCATTTAAAGTACCATTTTAAAATTAAGATCTGTTGTTTTAGCGAAAAAAAAAGCACTTGCAAAGTCAGAAGAAATAACTCGGTGATACAAGTTACAAAAATTTGAAAAGTATTAACGCCCCTCTGAAAAACCAATCCTGATCATGAGTCATCAAATTCAACGCTTTCAATTGATGGAAATACACGAACTGCATCTGAACTTGATACATGGCTCCTCAACTCCAATGAAGGACCAGAAAACATTTGTGGTGATGGATACCAGCATCAGATAATAGTCATATTGATCGGAGTCACAATTTTTACTTGATTAGTAAATACTTTTAACACTCAATACTGTGTTTTTTTACATTAACCAAAATATGTTTAACACTAGGTAAATAAAATTTACCTTTGATTAAAACCTAATTCAACACTTAGTGTACTTTTTACGTCCTCCAAAATATATTTAACACGCAAGAACGGGTCAAATGAATTTATTTTTTAAATAAAATTTACCAAATTTTACCACATTTTATCAGTGGTGAATTTAACACGCATGAGTGTGGACCTATATGTACCACTTTTGCGTGTTAAAATTAACACTAGATTTTTTACTGTGTAAACGTCCAACTTATCATGTTGCCAAAACCTTTCGATACTGCCTTGGAGCGATGGCTATTTTCAAAAAATCTATCTGGCATCCCACTCATTAGTTTTCGTTGTGGATCCGGAGAGCTTCTTTGGTGGAGGAAGAGAAGATCCAAGTGGATGCTGCTGCAGAGCCTGCGTCGGTTTCTACATCGATTAACCTACTCAAACTTTTGATTGATATTCAAGCATGTTTTATTTAACGAGTCGGTGTTCGGTACTCACTTTCGTGGGTAGCTTCTACATCCCAAGTGATACATGCTTATGCCTTTCAACCACGGACCCTGGAATCAGCACAGCGGCGAGCATTTTTACCGGTGCAGGAATTTGGTCGACCTAGCACCGTATTCCTTCTGTTGAATGGGCTCACTAGGTGAGTCCCCTTTCCCTCGACAAGGTCCGGGATCGGGGTTTCGTCCTACTAGTTTTCGGAACACCCCAGTCATCCGTTACCCAGATATACTGGGGGGAAACTATGGGTATTACTCAGGCTACACCTTCAACCCCCCGGCCGTGCCCGGGTTTTCGTTTGACCGGACGAGTTACGGTTCGAAGTTAAGCGCATCAACCGGGAAACTGGGCTCATTGAACTCAGATTAACAGGAATCATTCGTAGAGTTCCCCTGTTCTTACGGAGTTCAAGACGATACGCTACCATCTTTCTGGAGAGAGGCACAGGAACTTCTAGACTAGACACGACAGATCAGTAGCTGTAAACAAAATTGTACCAGCGAACCAGCCTGCATCGTAATGTTGGTAAGGACAGTGGGAATCTCGTTATTGTATGGATGTGTGGTAAGAGTCTTAGCGTTCTGCAATTATAAGTTGTGAAGGATGTTCTCTTGAAGTTGACTGATTTCCTTTATTTGCGGTAGATAATTATTCTGAGTTTTGGGATACTGTGCATCCCAGCGAGTAGGCTCAAAAAGAATGTTCTAGGTTTTTGATAAGATTAGAGGTCATTTAATATCCTTCGAAATAGATATAGAGCTACACAATACTCCTGATTATAGAAGCACAATCCTGTAGTAGACATCTGTCCTCTGATGGGATCACAAGAAAATAATCTGTCTAGTGAGACATTCTGTTGAATTAGTAGTATCCATAAAAATGTTTGACAGTAAATATTGCAAATGTATAACAAGTCTGCCATATTCGCA